TGGAGACCATTCAGTCCCTGAGATGCCATGAAATGACCCGTAAATTCCAACTTCTCCCAGTTCTCGATATATATCGTGAAACCTCCAGCAAATATAACAGTTAGGTAACTGTTCTCTCACCTGAATCAGTGAACCACACCAGTTAAAACTAACCACCAGGAGAGACCAGAACTAGGACGAAACAACTATCCAGTAATCTCACGTTTTCAGTGGTTCTCTGACTGTTGTTGTCTCGTGATCAAACTTGTCACCAATCAAATCCCTGCAAACAAACCCTTGACAAATAACTACTTGTTAAACATAATATATATATATATATACATGAGAATGTTGAATAGGTAAACACACTCACATTCCATGGCGAATAAAGGATTAAAATTATTCCTCCGCATGTAAGTAATACTGCTATGAAAGTCAAACCATATATTGCTTTCTTGGACAAACTCCGCATTCTGAAGGCAGGAATTATCACACAGAGAGAAATCAACAATGTCACGCTAATAGCAATGACCTTTTTTACTAAGGCACGTCGAGGGAATAGAAAGGCAGCACCCAATATCAGATATAAAAGCTGAATAAATAAAAAATAGTGAATTGTTTTGACATTACTTTTGAATGCAAATGATATTCATGTGATCATATTTGGCATAAGAAACAAAATCAAGCAAGTCGCTAATTTCCCGATCAGTAACTATCGTGTTTTCGAGTTGTTAATGGAACTCTGGATAGACGAAGCCTCACGATCGAAGAATAACAGCAATACTGCTCAGCAGAGGATATGCGTTTTGGTTGTAGTAGGGGTAATTTTTTTCTAGCAACCCAACCATTCCGAAGAGTCACCTAACTTGTCGATGTAAAACGTAAGAAGATGTCGGTTCATTGCACAGCTTACCTGTTATAAAAGTCGATAGCTTTGAATATATTCAGACCACTATATAAGAATATGCTCCTTCGGTCTAGCCTTTTCGATATCGACTTTGCATCTGATCTTCTAGTCTGTTTACTTATTGAGAATATTCAGAGTTGTGTGACTGAATTCATGCACATTTGATTCATGTCCCAATGGCCTAAATGTCTACGAGATCGCTATTTTTCCGGAAGGACCTGGCACCAAAAGACAGTAGGTGCGTATTGATGCGGATGACCAGCTGTCAAACATTCCCAGATTTAACAATGATTCGCTAACCAATGTCAGTTCATGATGAAATCCTGAATCCATTCAAATCCTCACGAACCATCACTTCCATTCAGATTTCTTGAGATATAACTAAGCTTTGTCTTTGTAGCTCAATTCATACATACAGAAGCACATTTCAGTGTGTTCACCAACAATCAAATATACTGACACCTTCACCAACTCTAGCTTGAAGAGTAACTGATAACGTCTAAACAAAGATGCTTTTGTAAAAACAAATCAATTTTCCAGTACAGAATGTCGCCACCAATCATTCTTACGTATATCGTTCGTACACCATCGGTTGTATTCTCTCGGAGATTTCTTTCATAAACATTGACGCTTAATTAGTTAACACAACCTGAAGTTTATGCTTGCAGACAGGTGAAGTGAACAGAATATTTTATGCATACACGTGGAAGGTGGTGTGCGTTGAGTGCGACTGTCAAGCAACGTTCCAGTTTAAAATGAATTCAGACAAAACAATGAGAAGACGTAATTCATTTGGAACCTGTGGTTACATATTTGGGATATTCTAATCACACACATGAACTTGTCATACATATTTATATGAAAGAAAACAGAGCATAAAGGATGATAAAGGATCTCTCAGTATAGAGAAGAAGAGATTTTTGTTGTCCAGTGGACACTCACATCTCACTGTGTCTACCAGTTTACACGCATGTGTGGTCAAACGCATATTTTTTATTTTTTCTATTTTTTATTTACAGCTTGATTCCACACCGTATTTTCAGTACAAGTGTGGAATTTTCAGCATGGATATCGGTAGCCCAAATTCAGGCTGACCATAGATATCGGGTGTGCGCCGGCAGGGGATCGAACCCCAGACCATGTGCATGGTCGGCGAGAGTCCTAACCACCGACGCAAGATTCATCTATCTTAACATGTCAGGTACATAAGTGTCTGTGAGAATAAATTGAATCAGCTGCTTCAGACAAACCTGAATATATATGTCCAATGTCATCTATCGCAAAGCACAACATTCAACCGGTCATAAAGTTGATTTCAGTAGTAGTGCGTGACAAGATCCTGTATGTGTGTGTGTGTGAACAGAATGTCCAAAATGAGATGAGCAATTACAATACACGTTTCGGATAAATTACGTGCTTAAAGTAACGGTCTGTGTATCGGACACATTTCCTTACTTGGATCTACCTAAACATTTACATCATCAGAAAAACATTCAACACAGCAATATTCATGCATGTCCACATTACAACAAACATGGAACAGGTGTTTTGGTGTAAATATTTAGTGCAATTGTGGGAAATAGCCTCACTACTCCACACATCGTATTGTCAGTCAATGAGCGATGTGAACATATCTCGTTATCACTGTTTCACTCTATTTGATCATCAACCATATTCGACACACTAATGAATATAAAAGCATGTATAGTGAGGTATGAAAACAGTTGCATGAATCATACATTAAATTAGTCATTCACATACAGAGGTAAATATCAAAACGATGTTAGCCGGAAAAAAGTCCTGTAAGATTTCGCTCTTTTGTAGAATCATGTATAACACAACTCCAGAAAGCCTGAAATACAGAATGATAGGATGTTTAGCAAAGGAAATTGAAAAAGCAAAGTGAGTTAAGACAAATATGCACTATTTATAAAAGCATTATCAGCCGAAAAAGTTAACTACTCTCCTCATGAGCTACGACATCTTTCGTTTATATCCTAATTCACTTCAAATATTCGACACTTGAAGGAAAAAACAATGGATTGGCCGAAGCTCTGTCACGCATGCATATTAACAATATTGTGTGTCCGGATATCGATTACGAACATCTCCCGATTCTGAAAAAAAGATGCTGAATTAAAGAAGACAATGTCTTCAAAACAACATCCCTACACCTCACAGAATTAGTCTTTGCCGTAAGGAATTTGATCTGTGATGCAACACGTTATTATAGACGAAATATACCAACTAATTAAAAGTAAATCAGGTGACCAGAACGTTTAAAATCCAAGTCAATAGAAAATGGTCAATACATATGTAAAGATGGTTACCAGGAGACGCAATTATATCACTCATGAAGAAATTTAAATCATTTCAATTTACGCTGAATATTGCAATGATGATGTTGTCCAGAAGGACGACGACAGCTCCGCAACTAAACCAACTAGCCCAGAGAACACTAATAATTGCCAGAAAAATTTTTATGTCCAAACATAAGCAGTGATGCTAAGAAGTCGACGCAAAATTGTTTTTCGTGTCAAACGGTCAAGGTTCATCATCACACTAATGAGCCGTTATATTCTTTACCTAGCTTCGACTCAAGATTTCACCACATGCATCGAAATGTCGTTGGTTCACTGCCTCCCTCCAATGGTTTCATCTACTTTTTTACCTGGCACGATAGATTGGTTTGTTGACCTGTAGCAGTTCCACTAGCAGACGTATCCGACGAAATGCTTGCTAGAGATCCGGTTGAAAAATGGATAGCGAAATTACGTCTTCCGTCCATTATCACTGCAGACAGAGGTGCAAATTTCAAAAGTCGTCTTTTTCAACAACTCACCAATGTTTTGGGCATCAAACGAATACAAATGACTTCGTATCATCCTGTTTCCATTGACATGGCTGAACGTTTACACCGACAGATTGAAACTGCTCTTGCTACCTGTCTGAGCGAAAACGACCGATCCACCATACTCCCACTGGTACTACTTGGAATGCGAGGAAATTTAAGGAAAGACATCGGATGCCACATTTGCGAATTAGTCTGTGGAACAACATTAATGTTACCTGGATAGTGTTTCACCTCAGATAACCAAGTTACAAGGGATATGACTGATTACATGTATCTTCCAAAGCAACACATGAATATGCTGAAAATATCCATTCCACACCCACAGCAACGATGATCATACATCCCGCTACAACTGAGAAATGCACTCACGTTTCTTTAAGAGGGATAGTGTTCAACGACCACTTCAATCCACCTACCATGGTCCATTTGAGTCATACAGAAGAATGAAAAAGGCGTTCAGAGAGTGATTCAACGGAAATTTTCAAGTTGCTCAAACGCCGCAAGTACTCGGTGACGGTGAAGAAGCTGGACAGTTTCCATCGTTACTCCGTCAAGCTTGCAGTAGCGAAGTCAGAGATACAGCTCCTAAAAGAATGTTTAAATCAGCGCGAATATCCAAATATGTACTTGAAATAACTCAGACGTAATCATATCCCTGCGAATATCAGATTACTCAGGCGACACACACTAAACAACATTGGCTACATCCAATCACGTGTCTCCGAATGAGAGCGAAACATCGACCCAGGAGTTCAAGAAGTCAATTATTTAGATGAAGAACCACGAAAATCCTTCAAAGAATAGGTCCAAGAAGTCGCACAGATGATTTCATAAGATGAAATTATGTCTAATTACAGGCCTGAAGTGGACGATTAATACTAAACGTCCATTCCAAAACAATCCAGAAAAATACGTATTTAATCTCTCAAACATTCAACTGTCAACACTTCAGCTAGAAGCACTTTCCCTCGGTTCAAAATTCGAAACGAAACCATCAAGTATCCAGAAGCTGAAGTTCCAGGTTAAGTTTGAATACTTGGAATCGTAGACATAAATCGTGAAGACAACACATATAAAATGCTCACCATAGTATCCTTTGAGTCCAAATTCTCAAAACCGACCAAAATAAAAAACATGACGGATCAAACTGAACAAAAACTAACATGTATTCTCCGGAAGCTAAGAATTGAATTATTCAAACCGCTGAGACTGTCTGAATGAAATATAACCCGACTTTATGAATTGACGGAATTGGACAACAAAGACATACCTCTAGAACCCATTCGTGATACGACCAATTGATTTTATCATCGCGTTGCCCAGTGGTACCTTATAGATTCAGTCGGAAGGCAAATTTCTTGCTACTCACTTGGAGATTCCTTCGAGTTTGTCAATTTCATTGGAAACGTCAATTTTTCCGAACCAACCATGTTCTACTTCTTCAAACCACAGAAGCAGTGACAATTCAGTTGTTTAATCCTGAACTGTGCACACACAATAAGTTAGTTCAGTCATTAAATCTACAATGGACCTGAATTAGCTTTCAATTCGTAGTTTTTGTTTCGTCTATTTATTGCTTTTTTGTCGATTAACTGTGAAACACTTTCTTTCCCCACACCTTGTTTAATCTCTACCTCTTATCACCACAGTTGCTTACTTGACTTTTGTTCAATTTCAATTTTAGCCGAGCTCTACTCGATCCCGTCAATAAGATTACGTCACTCAACTTGCTTATTTAACCTGATTCGATTGTCTAGCCAGTCAACGAAATTTGTTACCTAAAACTTGCAATTCTAATAATTTCATTTCATTTTAGTTTCCACCTGATTAACGCTTTTTACATCACGTATTTTATTATCTGAAATTTACAATTGTAATAACAAGTCTTTAAAACAGTCACTTCGTCGCTAAGAAAATTCACTATATATATGCGATTTCACAGCTTGAGAATGATAGTGTAACTCATCATTAATCGCCTTTCCTTTAGTTGTGAATTTTCCTTCTTGCTGTCTTTCTTCAAAATCAACATCTAACTGCTAAATCATGTTATCGACGTTTTCAAAAATAGTTTACATTACTATTGTTTAAAAACTGACGATTTGTTTTGCATAATTGCATTTAATCGTGTAATACTTTCTATTCCTGTATCGCTTCCACCTGAAGTCTACGGATTCGAGGCTGATTTTTCATCATTCCAATTATTTCCTGTTATACATGTCAGGCCTATTGTCGTTAGTGCATTTGATTTTAATAGGAATAACTATACGTCAATTTCTATTCAAAACTCTGGATTAAGTTACGTATTTTTCAGCTTATTACACCAACAGTTTTCTATGCGTTAACGCCACTATTCACAATGTATACTCATATTATTGTTGAACACCCAAATGTATTATTTAATACTTCAGTGTTCTGGTGGGGGAATTATGTAACATTCCGATATTAGGCCTAACTGAGCGAGTACTAAACTAATTCATGAATGCATGCTATAGTATTACAGAGGCTAGTTTTACTTATGCTTGTTGAATGTTCTCCATTTCACTATCGAGCATTGCTTGTCATTTGTTTCATATTTATGATTATTTCACGCGGTTCTGCACTGTCACTTTCGCCTCGCACCTTTTGAAATTTCATCTCCTTAACAATTCACCGTTTCGAGTTTTAACCAGTGCATCTTAATACAACGTAGTTCGGGTATGAGCGTTTGCAGCGTTATCACATGACAGAACATGAAAACGTGGATATACTACAATTGTATAATCCAAATCATAGTGTCTATGCTATAATTCATAAATTCCAGGAGCTTTGATCACAATGTAATTTGGAAAGCGCTTCAACACTAAGGAGTACAGTGCCTCACGTCTTCATCAACCTTATTCGACCTCTCACCATATGACAATGACACACGTAAAGTGATTCGCAACTGCAAACTTCCAATTTCGGTGGACTGGATCATGCAGAAGACTGTGAGGAGTGAGAAAACATGAATGCGTCAGACCGACAACAACATTCTCGAAAAACTGTACTCTGCGAATGATTTATGTGTAATGTCCCACAAACTCGAAGACTAACACATGACATCCAACAAACTGGCAGGAGATGCAAGCAGCAGGCGACGAAGACATGACTACAAGTGAACATAGAGAAGACGGAGATGATGAATCAGTCACCATCAAGACGAGAGATTTGAAGAAATTTAGTTGTTTCACTCATCGTTTCAACTGCAGGTGACAGCACCGATGAAATCATCGAAGCCAGCAAGAATAAAGAAGGCATGGGATACTTTCTTTATTCTGAAATCAGTGTGGAAATCTACTGCAGTCAGAATTAAAGAATACGATTCGAACTTTCAGTGTTGATTTCAAATCAGCGCTTCTATATGTCGTAGACACTTGGCTAGTCGCGAAAAGCATTGCCAACTTGATGTAAACTTTATCAACAGATATCGTCACTCTGTAGAGAAGATCAGATTGACGGTCAGAGGGATTGGATAACAAGGAACCTTAAGAAAGTGCCAAATGGGAACCCGTCACTCAACACATTATATGATGTAAATGGATGTGGATTGGAGACACTCTGAGACTGCCGTTGAGTGACGTCACACACGAGGCACAACACCGAGTGTAACACGAATGTGAGTCGATGAATTAGGCGTGAGTTCGAGCGTAACGTGGTGGAAATCGAATTGGGAGGAGATGACAATGTATGGTGAAACATGGCGTCAGCTGAAGATGACTACAGAGAAGGACGGTGGAATGGAGAAGTGGTGTTGTAGTCCTATTTTTCACTCGGAACGAAGGAAATAATAATATTGATACAATGATGATAATGCAGGTTCACATAATACAACTCACCAAAGTACAGCCGCAACTATTCGAATGCAGAGTCTTTTTTAAAATAATGAAGGCAGATTAAATTAGGAAAACATATATCTTACTTGTAAAAGAAGTAATAAGTGAAAAGTATATTGCAAACCATAACAATTGCAACAAGTATGAACTGAATGATGTTTAATGAGCGAATGATTCATTCTTACCAAGCTTATGAATTCTATAACTTTTTTGAAACTCATATTCAATCTTCAATCTAAAAGCTGCATAAATTGTATATTCACTCACTACCCAGTTACAAATTGTTCTGCGATTTCCGCTAAACAATTAACACAAAATATGGAGGAAAATTTAGAACAACTATCCATATATATACACATGTATATATAGATATCATTGAAAGGAATAACGGACAATCGTTCTGAATAATTGTGCTACTGCGTCTGAATCAAAGAGAGTGAGTGCAGACGACACAGCTGAATAGTACTCATACGTTTTCCAATGGTTCTCTAATTGATGTCAGCTCAATAAAAAACAAGTAACCAATCAAAATCCGGTTAACAAACACTTAACAAAATAATTGTTTACTAATTTGAAACATTTTTGTGAATAGTATTCTGAGTAAACCAGCTTTACAAAGAATTCAGTCAGTATCACTTCCAGATATAAGAGCGAAATGTTTTACGCTGTTCAGTGGAGCTTAGTCATTGTGACTAGAAGAAATCTGTTTCCGATGTGAATATATTCCAAATCATAGAAATGTCAGCACTAGACCTGTCACAATTAGTCATTATCGAAGTAATGCATCAGAACTATTACGTGTAAGGATTTTTATTCACGTGTGTAAAAGTCAAGTTGTTGGTTTCAAATTGTAACTTTCATTCTCCGTCGCCTGATTATATTGGAGTGAAATACTCTGTCTCTGTTGACATGTCGACTCCTAGTACGGAGACTTAAACGATGTCTAGGATTAATGTGAAGCTATTTCGCTTTTGGTAGTAACGAGCATAAGAATTCAGGACGTCCACTTCTTCCTATTCGAGTGTTGTCAGCTGAATACATGACTGCAATTGTCAATGAGTGATGGTGTTTTCACTGAGATACAACCCTTGAACTCTTCGGTTCGAAAGCCAAAGCATCCCGCCTGCAAGGACTTCTTGTGGAACTGTCCAACTCCCAGTTGAAATGTCATCACTCAACAAGCACTGAAGATTTATTCGGAGGTTGAGTCAACAATAGAATGAGAAAGTCAAATCAATTCATCCAAAGTTTGACTTTCCAGCTAATTGTCGTAATGAAATGTGGAATTCTGGCACAACACTTCATGAAGACTGTTGATTTCATGTTGATGAAATATGACGATGGCGAGAAAGTAGCGAGAAGTGAATGTTATTCATTCGAAATATTGGAGAACTGCAGAAATTGCCGAAAATAATACCACGGTGTTCAAAACAATGTAAAAACGAGATTTTGTTGTGATCGTTTCGTTGTGTGAGCCACAGCTTGTTCAGCAGAATTATTCGCATTTCAATAACCACGAAATATACAGTCAAAAATGACATCAATTGAAGTCAGTTCGTTTGGAGGTAACTTGCCGAAAGACACATGTACCACTAGATAAATGTAAGTCCGTCTGTCTGTCTGTCTGTTTTTGACATAGAACTTTGCACATATGTGCGGCATTTCAAGTCACCACACTCCATATGGCACACAAAGCAAGAGAAGAAAGTAGAAGAAATGCATATTAGGTAGAAATGCCTATGTTATAGAATCTGTTGGAGGGTGAAGATATGGTCAATACACCCTCTTCCTGGCCTTAAGCCAGCCTGGTTTTCTCATGTTTGTGCCCCCTGAGCACCCTTAGTCTACGCATGATAATTGGGCCTAGGAATTTGGATACTATATTAGTCAAGCTAATCCCTCTGTGGTTATCACAGGAACACTTGTCTCCCTTCTTGTATATTGGGATGATCAGTAACTTACACCAACCCGATGAAACTTCCATTGTTTCTCAGACGCTGCTTAGAACCTCACTTAATGCGGACAGTAAACTGTCTCCAACGTACTTCAATTCTAGGAAGAGGCTTTCATTCACATTAAGAAAGGTTGTCCTCTAAAGCCTCGCATAGTTTAATCTCATCGAATGCAGTGAATAGTAGAGAAGTGATAGACCATCCACCCATATGTCAGACTCTAATGAAGCAAGACAGATGAGAAAACAACAAGAGACTGCGCAAACCCCTCTGACCTCTGGAAAATATTTTCATGTTGATCACATGTGATATCACTTCTTTTCCAAATGACAAATAATATACACTATTATAAATGAAAGCGTCTGAGAAACAGAATCATTTCACCATCTGTTAGCAGTGAATAAATCTGCATAACTGAGAAATATTTTCAGTCACATTAACCACAGACGCAAATCATGTAGTCTACAACATGCATAATACACATCCTATCCATCAGTCGACTTTACCTCCTTTGCTGACACTAAAATTCTAACATCACTATTACTCATCATAATGAACAACTAACCGTGAGAAACTGAACGCGGATATCTTCGTTCAAAAATGGACAATCATTTTATACTTCACAACTTCAATATTTCTTTCACACAATCATGAAGAAGGGTGGAATATTGCAGAGTACACACATCTTTTAGCGAGTAGATGCATCGTACGCCCACGTAAAAATGACGCAAGTTATTGAATGCCGAACAACAACGCTATATCCATGTTGAGATTTAGTCGAAACCCGCCAAATGAAGTTGATACAACTCGTCAAATAAGTGAAGCGGTCGACACATCCATGCATTCCACTGCCTATGGCTAGCCTGGCCATTGATGGAGGTCATTCACGCACCACAACACCATATCTGACATTCTTAACATACTCCGAGTTCTTCTTAATGTGTTCATAAGTCACAGCATATTGTCAGCCATTTCACCCAGAGAGTAACCATGTTACCTGCATACTTAAGGTTGAAGTTATATTTTTCGGGTGACAAGTAAATACATAAGTCTTTCAAGTAGACGAGTCCTAGGCGCATTAGAGAAACACCCTTGTATTTATATAAATGTGCAGTGATATGATATATCTCTGGTTGATATCACTGGTGTGCACTGATTCCTCAAAAAATATTGGGCATCATGAGTGATCAGGAGACAAATATGGAACAAACTTTCCAGTATTTATGCTCTTTGCCCTTCACAATCAAACACATTACTGTCCATCTGAAGTGATATATCAGTCGAGAGAACTGTCACAATTTGGAATCAAACTCACCTCGAGGTCCTGGATTCGATGGCTTGTGTTAGGGTAATGTGTTATTGTGCGCAAGCCTTACAAACCAGGAAGGAACAGCCGTCTAGTAGTCTCTGGTGGTTTTCAGCATTTCTCTCAGAAGTGAGTTCGCCACCGGTCTTGAAATCAGTTGAGAAAGACTAGGTGACACGCTGTAGGAGGATAAAAGGCGATACAATTCCTATAGAACATATCCTTCTCCTTTGGATAAAATAAAGACCAGATTCTAGTTATTCAGATGAAGCGATTAAGTATCCGTATGCACTGTGAGTAACTATGCAGATATATTAGTCTCGAATCAGTTGAATTTCTCATTCAACAATGGAATTTCGTATTGACGAACCGATATGAATTAAAAGATTTTTGAAAAGAAAACGATCTGATATATTTTCACTGATAAGGAAAATAAAGTGATGAACTCACATAGTAAATAGCGTTTTGAACAGATCACTTCAGAGAATGTGTGTAATCTGTGTGCCTGAAAAGGTGTGCTAAATATTTTCAGTCGAGTAACCTTTACACCATTACACCCACGAACACTTCCTACACTAAACAAGAAAACACCCACTGAAAGTGTCGATAATATTGATGTAAGACTGACACATCAGTAATTCTAACTACACATAGAATACCAACGAACAATGAGACTATTGAAATTTTCGTTATGATGAGAATTTTATTTCATCAGACTGTTGTGCATCAGTTGAATGTCATCAAAAATTTTCAATGTGAGAGAGTCTAAAGTATAAATACCCACGCATTTGCGACTACACAGGTTGTCTTAGAGATGAAATTGTAAGCAGTAATGTTGAAATAATTTCTGGTGAAACCTGGAAAACAATGATCACACTGCCTGTGGAATTCGAGATTGGACACTGGATAAAACAGGCATTCACAATCTTGCAATTCAGAAGAACATAATACTTGGTATTGTATAAACCCATGTGATACTACAAGTATTCACAACTTTCATTTGAATTCACTCATGGAATATAGTTTCCTAAGAATCATATATGTACGACTGTGCAGGGGGTAGTTAATTCGTAGGAAAGAGTGAGTCTTATTGCTGAATATTGTATTCTTAATAGACACGGTGGGAATATGTGTTATCAAATTTATCTAGAATAACAAAGGATGATGAGACAGATTACAATTTTTGGGAATATATCTAAACGTAATGAGTTATTTGGGGGTTAGCTTTCACTCAGCTAGACACAAATTTCATTAATTCGTTCCATAGAATCACGTGACACACATGTCGATGACCCCTCTGCACTGTAGGTTCGCTGATCTGATCGTCTGTGTTTATTTGAAACGAAGATGAGCATTTTGTTTTAAGCTTACAAAATATGTTAGTCATTCTCATAATGACAATCACTCAGAGAGAGTGAATGAGATAATGATGTGTAACCGAAGGCATACATTTGTGTTTGTTGAAATGAAATGAAATTCGTAAGTTTACGTACCTAATAGTAGATAAATAGAGGTTTGCTTCAAATAAGCGGTAAACAATGTGTTCTGGTAAAAGAAAGTGTTGCTTGTAACCTTTAAATGAAAAAATTATACAAAGCCTCATTTACGTCGTGCACAAACTGTTATTCGCTTATCGAACACATGCAGTTTCATAGCATACCGGTGAGGCGAAATTATTCCTCTCAACATATACGTAAAGTATTTCTATCTGTTCATTCAACAGTGTAGTTTCCTTCACTTAACTATACTTGGTACAGGCGTTGAGAATATGGATTGACTGTGCTAAACGTCATTGACACTATGATTATATTAGTAAATATCATACTCATGTAAAGATCACTTGTGTTTGCTCTTACTTAATGCGTTGAAAATAATCAAATCGGTGTTCAGCTGAAGTACTGTTGCATATTCAAAATACAGTTAACTCATTTGAAAGATCAAGCAATCCTGGATAAGATAACTT